TGGGAGAGCAGCTCGGTTTCACAGTATTTTGATTATTACCGGTATATGTTCATGTCGTGAATGGTAACCATCTTAGTTTGGCTTAAAGTATATTAATTTAATAGGAAGGTTATTATTCATTGACAGTGTAATATGTCCTAGGCATTGCACAGAACACAGAAATGCGGTCCCCACTTTCTTGGTACAGAAGACAGCTTACCAGAAATTGGACTGGATTCTACTAAACTCTGAACACGCAGTTTCTTTGGCTACTCTCTTGGTAGGGGATTGTCATGGTAGATTCCACAAGGGAAGAGGAAATGGTGGTATAAGGAAAAGAGAAACTAAAAGAATCAGAATTTGGGGAATTCCCTGGCGGTCCAGTGGTTAGGACTCCACACTTCCGCTACAGGGGGGCACGGGTTCAATCCCTGCTTGAGGAACTAAGATCCCGCAAGTCATGCAGTGCAGTCAAAAAATAAAATAAGAATCAGAATTTGAATAATTACCTAATTTCTTACATTGACAAAATCTTGACCAAAGGACAGTCCTCCTCTGTCTGGAAAGCTATCTTTTTCTCTTCATGAGGAACAAGTAAAGTGGTGAGGGATGGAGACACCTCACAGCCAGCCACATCGGACCAGTCAACCTTGGCAGTCAATGCAATGACAGATGTTGATGCCAGAGCACCCCTAGAGTCTACATTTATATAGTATTTTTTAATCTTCCCAAAGCAGTTTTTGCTATGGCTGAGTTTAGCCAAGAGGGTGAGCTGATAAAGAGAACAGATCTGGGGAAGACTACTGAGAGTTCTCCCCTGTATTTTGGCCTGTGCCAAGCCCTGTCTCTGTGCCTGAAGCGTTTTGATACTCCTTTCTCCATCATCCCAAGGAATCCGTGGCTGCATCTCTTCAACCCTCCCCTTCTCCCCGCTTCCCCAACCCCCCAGGGAGTTCCATAGGTTCTGGCCAAGATGTGCAGTTTTGTCTGCCATGTTTTGCAGCTCTTCCCCTAGCTCCTCTTAGGTGGCACTGCAGGAGAATGGATGAGGTTAATATGATGGTTACCTTTTAGAACAGAAAATGGGAGTTCAGTGGATTGCCCAGCCTAGTCTCTCTTCCATCTGATCTCTCAAACTCCTTCCCTTTCTGCAGATGTAGCTCTTGTACCCCTTATCTTGTCTCCAGGGCAACCGCTGGTGAAGCTTCACTTTTCCCACCCACACTGCAGAAAAGTCTCAGGCCCATGCAATAGTATGGTTAGCTCTTCTGGTCTGGCTACAGTGAGCCTAGGCTGGATGCTTCCTGTCCCCAGGCTTCAGAGAGGAGAGCTAAAGCAGCTGCCACGTCAAGCCCTTTCATCAGGCTTATATACTGTTGTGTGGAAAACATGAAGTGTTTTCCTGCCCTGAGGCCTTCCAGTCAGACATAGGCTTTGTTACAGTCCCACAATCACAGAGGGCATGGAGAGAACCAACCTTTAGGACATGAGGCCCTGCAGGAACTTCTAGGTGCCCTACAGCACTGACACACATAAGGTGAGAGTCACTGACCCCAAAGTTGGGGGGTGTGTATGCATGTGCACGCCCATACAAACATGCACACAGGTTGGGGAGCACTGTAGCTGGATAGAACTTTGTGCTGCTTTTCCTGCACCTCCCACTGCTCCTTCGCTTGGCCGTAGTTTGCTTTAGGCGTGGACCTAAGCAGAAAGGCCGAGCCCAGTCTTGGGCATCCTTAGAAAGCACTGTGAGATAGGTGGGAATCTGCTTTAAAGAGAGGGGTGCTGGGGGCCTCTCATGTATACTCAATGAGACAAAGTTGAATCCTCTGGTACCAGAGACTAGCCTGAAGTAGCTGCTTAATCTGCTTTGAACAGAGGTTTAAAAAATCTGGGAGATTCTAATAGCAGGTAGATTAAAAACTGGAACTTATTCCCTGCACATTGGTAACTTAGTCAAGCCTTCTGGGTGGGTGGGTGGGTAGGGAGAAGGCGGTCTTACTGGAGGGAATGGAGGGAATCTGTCTGCTTTAAGCTTAGCCCAGTGCTGGAGACTGTCTACATCAAACCACCATCCAGGGCAGTTCTGGGGCACTATCCTCCTGCCTTTCAGCTGTGTCTTCTCTGTGCCTATGCTTTGCTGAGGCCATGACTGCAATGCCTGACTAGTGTTTCATTCCTGGATCCCAGGACAGAGAAAAATAAAATAAAATAAAACCCACCAAGATTAAAAAACAAATACTGAAGCCTCTGCGCTCCTGGGGTGCCTGCCTCTCTGTGTCCACTCCAGGCAGACTGCTGGCTGTTCTCAGACCAATGGAATGGAAAGTATCCTTCTTCTAATTTAAACATAACTGCTTTCATGGCGTGTTTATGTGTGTGTGCATGTGCGTGTGTGTTTTAATTCCAATAAAGTCCTTTGAGGAGGAAGGGGCTGTGATCCTACTCCAAGAGCCTGAAACAAGGAAGGAGAAACAAACCTATGAACAAGCCAGGGGTTGTGTCTCACAGCTCCCCACCTCCACCCTGTGCCTGGGTGAGGGCCTGAGGCAGCCTGTGGCTATGGGGGAAACCAGAGGGTTGGTGTGGCAGTGTTGTGTCCATTGCTGTTGCTCCTCTCTTCCTGGATTGTCTGCTCCGCCTTTCCCTCAGAAGAGCAGAATTAGGTAGGAGAAATTTAGATAGACTTGTGACCAGGAGCTCCAGACTAAGACCAGCTCCAGGAACTTCAGGCTGGACCTGGGGGATAACTGACTCCCAGATTTGCAGTCAGCCCTGTGACTTGAAAGCACTAGCTGGCAGCACTCAGGGCAAGCTTCACTACAGTCATGGCCTTGGTGGCATTCCTGACCTTGCATCTAGGAGGAAATGTCTGTGTTCTCCAGTGATGGCCAGCAACACAACCTCTCAGAGACTTGGGTCCTCTAAGCATCATTATCCATAACTGTTTATTGCCTCCCTAAAAGAAGCATAAAACCCAGAGTCAGGTTGAGTGAAAGAGAGATAAGGACAAGCACGTAATACCACCTGTTTACATCTGTTTAATGCTTTGAACTTCCCAATGCCTGTTAACATAGCATTCTGTCATCTAGCGCTCACAACATCCCTGTGAGATAGGTCAAGCAGTAAGTGATTTGCCTGTGGCCACACCAGTGTTAGGAGCTGGGTAAACCCAGACTGCAGGTTTCCTAGCTCCCAGGTCGATTCACTTTTCACTTCATGATATGTAGGCTCTTTATGCCAACCAGACGCAGGGGCAGCGGGAGCACTGAACCAGACGCCTCCCTGCTCCCTAAGCCTGCAGAGGGCCACCAGAAATGCTGAAGGAGTCAGGGGTGTCCCCTGGAGGCCAAGACAGGTCAACAGAAGGAAGGGCAGGAGTACTAGAGGTTCAAGGTCAACAGCCACCACTACCAGTGTCAGTGGAGCATGTACTACGTTCCCTACATCTTGACCTTTGTCAGGTGAAAAGGCCTTATTAGTTTACTCAGAGGATGCTCAGGGCCCACTCCCAGAGGAAGGATAAGGCTTGGCTGGGAGGTGAGACTCCTGACCCCTCCTCCCTCTGCAGCCCAAGAAGAGGGGGAAGGTGAGGGCTGGCTGACTCAGCCTGCAAGTGCTTAGAGATCTGGAGCTGAAAAGCCCCAGCACTGTGCAGGTAATGATTATTGTCAACTCCAAACGGGCCTAGGCATAGCAGCCAGCTGGCTCAGGAAGAATGCCTGGATCTCCCACGGTGAGGTTTTAAAAACAAGACCCACAGTAGCCATGCCCAGGGGTGGAAGGGTGGGGACGATGAGAAGGAAGGGACAGGCCAGTGTCGGGAGTGGGGAGAGGTAGTCTGCGCAGTGAGAGGGTGCGGACAGAGGAGGCACAGGCTGGCGAGAGATAGCAGCCTACCTTCGATGCAGCTGAAAAGCCAAGAAGGTGAGGGTGGGAGACTTCCCCAGACAGAGCTCCTGCCATTCAACACCACCCCCCAGCCAGGGGCAGGGCGGGGGGAAGTGTTGGGGTGGGAAAGCGGTGGCTATGGGAAAGATGGGGGCTTTGGGGTGGTATGTGAACCCAGAATGGTGATCCTATTACCATTTGGATTTAGATACAAAAAGCATCTATATTTCTAATGTCCTCAAGGCTGAGTTTGAATGTAATCATATTCGGAATCAGGACTTAGTGAGCTTGATATGCAAATTTGTGCAAATGACACAGAATTTAAAAAAACTTGAACACCCTGGCTTTTTTTTCTAAAAGGCAAAACAGGCTGGCTACTAGCAGCTTTCCCTAGTTAGGGGACAAGGGCAAAAGGGCAGCCATTTGCTTCTCCCACAAGGCCTCTGCCTCACTCCTGAGGAGCCCAGATAACACCCCAGATGGGGAGATACAGGGAGGTGGGGGGATAGAGGGTGTAGGGAGGAGGAAACACACAAGCAAGAGGCATATGCAGCCGTCAGCCCCCAAGATCCCAGCTGGAGGAAGAGTGCCCTGGCACTGAGGTCTAATGGTTGTCCAGCTGCTGCCCCAGGATGTGAGGGCAGGTGGTGATGGAAGGAGAAAGGAGGGGAGCGGAGGGAAGTCCCCCTACAATCTGGCCAGCGGGGAAGAAGGGCTCCTCCTGGCGACCTCCTCCCTATACTGCAATCAGACTGGCTAAGCAGGAGACCACCTGTGCCCCCCTCTCTGCCCTGTGCCTCTGCCCCCCCACCCCCGAGGCCTACCGGTCAGAGAAGTGACAGCTGGGACCCCTTCCTCCTGCGGAATATAAATGACTTCCCCCTTCCTCCCAGGGCTGGGAATAGACATCAGCTGGCACTGCCCACGCAAACTGCCGGCTGTCAGCCAGCCTGCCCGCTCACCAGCCCCCGCACCACCTGGGAGGAGGCAACACCTCAGGCAGGCTCGGGCTTTATGGTGTTGCCTGCTTGGCTCCCAGAGCAAGCTGGTGAACCCCACCCAGCCTTCCTACCCTGCTATAGACAGAGTAAGACTCCCAGCACTGACTGTGGTGGGCAAGGGGAGATGGGCTCCCTGATCAAAGCGACCCTCAGTGAGAATCTCCTCCATGCAGCCCCAGCAACCATCTCTCCCAAGTTCAGAACACACTGAGGAGTTGGAGAGGGGAGAGAGGGCAATGAAAAAGACAGGAACCATCACCCTCTGCATAGCAGGGGTCCCCCTTGAGATGCTCAGGGTCTGGAGAGCTCCTAGGAGATGACACCTGACCCAGGAGGATCCTAGCGAGGTCCGCTCAGAGAACCCCTCTGTCCCTGCAGTTCTCACTCCTGTACTGTTGAATCATACCAACCTCCCTGCTTCTGAGCCACCCAGAGAGGAGGTCTTGAATCTTCTAAAGACCTGAGAGATCCAAAATATTGCTATCTAGGAACATCTACCCCTCCTGCTCCTGGGACCTAGAGCTCCAGGCCCTACACCCCAGGCCTCCCAGAGTTCCCACTGAGCTCTCTCTACCAGCATTAACACCAATTTCCTGGCTCAGCCATTTTCAGTATTTGCCATGGTCTACGGAGGTCCCAGCTCCCCGACTGAGCCAGATGACAGTTAACCAATCTAGCAGCCAGCCCTTATCACCGAGGGCAGTCTGGGGAACTACTGATACTTTCAGTTTGGAACAAGGAGGGGTCTCTGCAGGGAAGAGAGCCCAGCCCTCATTTGCCAGCTGGCACCAAATTCAGCCCCGTCCTGGGCCAAAGAGCTGGCAAGAGATGGCACTTAAGGAAAGCTTAGCTGACGAGGGGAGAAGGGGATCCAGAGACACTTCGTTTTCTCTTAGATCAGAAGAGCCCTGCCCCATTTCCTTGACTCTTATTTTGTTCTAACAGCTTCGGAAGAGCTCCACGAAGCTACGTGCTAAGGCAAGGACCTGAGCCCTAAGAAGGACAAAACATGAGATGTTCAGGACTACTTTGCCACTGAGAGTGGATGTCTCGCAGCCCTCGAGCCCAGATCCTGAAGTGAGCTGAAGGAAGACCTTAGCTGGGCTAAGAAGCCGAGCCAAGGCTTAGTTAAGCCAATGCCCTTTTGCTCCTCCAAAAGTTTTAAAGTGACTTTAGTGCCTTTACTGTCTTGATGTTCTGGAGACCCTCACCTGGGCCCCTTCTCTCCACAGTGCCTGACCCCTTGTCCCCTGGTGCAGGGGCCAAATCGGCACAGATTCCTGAAAGGCCACGAGAGCAGACCTGTCCCTCCAGAGGGGTAAGGAGACAATGAATGTAAGAGTTACACTCTGAGTCTGCTGAGTGGGCCAACCCACGGTTCAGACCTGGGAGAGTGTTCTGTGACATCAACTTGACAGACACTGGATGTTAAGAGAAATTGTTTAGAAACAATCACTCATTACACAGACGAGGACACTGAGGTCCTGAGACATGTGACTCGCATAAGGTCCCACAATAGCGTGTACAAGGACCACACCCCATAAACAAGACCCACTGGCTCTCTCCACTACACTGCTTTCTCAAAGTGACCCAAAGAGCCATAGCTGTCATTCATAAGTTACAGGAATCCAACTTTTCACCAGGCATGCAAGCAAGAAATGACTGCCAGTACCATCAGCACCACCACCCAACACTTCTGTCTCCCATCAAGAGTGGAGGCTTCAGGATCAAGCTCCCCATCACCTTTCACTTGCGCCCCGTACATTTCCCCATTTGGGCCCACTGAGTCATCTGTCAGCAACAGCAGTTTGGGTTTCTGCAGCCCCTAGCCCAGCTAAGAAATACAAAAACCCTACCACTTCTGAAGTGGATCCCTGAAGGTCACCAAAGGAACCACTGAAGTCCAAGTCAAGTGTCCCATTTTGATTCACAGTTTGGAGGAATTCACATTTCCATTTTCTTCCTTGGCAAGTAGGAGCTGGAGATCTGGTGCATGATTACCAGGGCTGGATAGAGGGGCAGCACCAGACACAGGTACCAGGCTGCACCTTTGATCTGGGCCTGGAACCACACAGAGTGCATACCCAGGAGCACTGTTACCGTAGCCATTAGGTAGATCACCAGTCCACATGTCAGATGGTAGAGCTTGAGGCGAGCCACCCTTGAGACCCTGGCTGCCCGGGGACAGAGGAGGCAGAGCCCACACAGTGCCTGGATGCTAGTGGCCAGCAATGTCAGAGCCCCTACCCAGCTGTGCCAGGACACCAGGTGGGGCAGCTCACTGCGGGTCCTGCTGGAGATGATAAAGCCCAGGCCCAGGGCTGCGCAGAGGATGGCTAGGGTCTGCCCCGCCCAATGGAGTCGGATCCGGGCCTTTCGGGAGCAGAAGAAGAACAGGGAGTGCTCAGGCGAGAAGAGTAGGATGGCCTCAGCCATGCAGAGGCAGAACTGTGAACACAGGAGAGGGCCAGTGAGCCTCAGACCCAGCTTGGAGGCCTAAGAAAAAAGAGGTGCCCTCATACATCCAAACAAGGAGGACAGAGGGTGGGGGCTAAAGAACTCCCACCAGGACCACCTGCCACACAGGTCAGCATTTGTGGGCAGAACTGGGAATCCATGCTAGAGCGGAAGTCTCATCATTCAGGCTGACATCATGCCCCCACCTCCACCACAGACAATGACCCTCATTTCTTGACCAATGGGAACAGCAAATGTTAAACTTCCTCCTGAACTTTGGAGTGGGGAGCAACTGGATTGCACCCCTCCCACTTCCTCCTTTCAGGCCCTAATGGAGAAAAAAATGGTATCTTCCATGTCCTCCCACCCCCTTAAACCACCTGACTACCTGCAGCCCAGCCCTCCATGTTTCCTGATCTCACAGGTTGCAGGGAAAGATGGGGCCCTGGGCATTTCCCCCCACCTCTCTGAGCCTCAGAAAGGCTAAGCCTTCTGAAGGCTGGATGCTTCCTTAGGGGCATATCCAAACCAATCACCTGCAGAAAGAAGCCCAAACTCACCGCCAAGGCCATGAATACAGGGTGCCAGGAGAAAAGACCTAAGAATCAAAGAGAACAGACTGACGACTGGGCACCGTTGTTTCTACCCCTGTGGCTGGCTGGAGCCCAAAGAGTCTGGCTGGAGGGGAAAGGTCAGAGGAGTGTCTCCAACCCTAATGGGTAATCAGGAACTCCGGGCAAAGTGGAGCAGCCAAAGGGCCTTAGGGTGAGCAACCAAGAGGGCAAACATACCACTTTGGCCTGCGTTCCCCATTCAGCACCTCGCAGCTACCAGCCCAGTCCTAGAACAGACCTTGGCATCCCTCCTTTACTTGTATCATCCACGAGGGGCTTTGCTTATGATGAACTAGTGAGTTCCATTCACTTCAGTCGCCTCCTCTCCTCCCAGCACCCAAAGCCCCACCCTTCCAGGCCCCACCCCCAGGGCCACGCCCCACCGCGCCCTTACTACCCCTCCACAGTCCGCCCATCCACTGCTAGGGTCCCCACTCCACGCCTCTTAGCGCTCCCAAGCGCTGCCCCTCCAGCGTCTCGGCTCCGCCCCCTTCCCCGCCCCGCCTTGCACACTTACTCGTTCCTGGCCGGGACAGCACTGTCAGAAAGATGGTGAAGCCCAAAGCGACCAGGTGCGCCAAGATCCCACTGCTTCTCCGCAGCCACCGGGTCAGTCTCGGCTCCCTCTGTGGAGCGGGAACCAGACCTACCTCCAGGGACTGCATGGCGGTGCCCAGCCGCCCCACACTTCCAGCTGCCAGGGCACGTCTTCCGGGTTTGCGATCGCGGAGGCGGCCTCGGCTGCGGGAGAGGCTCCTCCCCGGGACGCCGCCGGCAATGCGGCGGTTCGTCCACAGCGCCCTCTGGGGGCTGGGGGAAAGCGCATCCGTCCTGGAGAGCCCCGAGGGCAGAAGGCGACTGGACAGCTCCGGGCCCACCGTGTGTCTTCTGCCCAACTCATGTGTATCTTTATGTCTACCCGGGCTGACGGGGCTTATGTCTCAAATAGCCTGTGGAAACTACATTTACGACAACTTATTTCACCCGAATCACAGATTTGGTATACTGAACCAAGAGTGTGAAACCAGTGTTTTGAACAGTTTTCCAGAAATACTGGATTTCCCTGGTTGCCCACTCTCTCCTGCCACCTCTTCTTCTGTCTTGTTAAGGGAATAAGATCCCTCCCTGCCTAAAAGCAAGGAGACTGAAAGGACAGGAGAAGGCTAAAAACTAGTGCCCTGTGCCTGGTGAATTCAGGTTTGAGGACCAAAGGAGGGACGTGCAACAGTCGTATCCCCTGTCTGCACAGTAGCTGTTGTCCCCAGTGAGACAAATGGAAAAACTAGGGCACTCCCAGCCCTTGCCGCCTCCACACCATCTGCTCAGCCCTGGGGAGCCAGGCGAACCTGAGGGGCTAGGGCCTCCCACACAGCTGCTGCCTCCCACACCAAGGGAAGTTCTGTAAGTGAGGATACCTTTTCCCTTACTGCCTCCAAAAAAGGGTGTGGTTCAGCTTAAGGAGGCCTACCTGGGAGAGGCCGTACCCCTTCCTGAAGGGTAAACCCACAGGCCATGGAGAAAGAGACCAAAACCAGGCTGTCCCACAGAAATCAGGGACATCCTGAGTGCAATTACCAACTCAAGCTCCAGTGGTTGAGAAAATAAGGCTACTAGTAAGAGACAGAAAGGGCTGAAGAAACTGAGGCAGAAATTCAGAGACAGGACGGAGGAGCAGGATTGCTGGAAGACCAGAAAAGGGCCACAGGTGGACATCCACAGACCTTCAAGGCCAAGATCCAAGAGTAGAGCCAGAGGTGTGGCTCCCCTCCCACATCAAGTTTCCTTTCCCAGTGGGACTGTAGTCCCCTTGCTCGCTCCGAGCCACATACCTCCTCATCCTAAGACTCCCCCAGTGATACAACCCCCGGCCATTTCCACAGACTAAGAGGACAAAAATATACGAGTGTAAGAGATTTTTTTTTGCAGGCAAGTGACGGGAGCTGGAGTCTGACTGCCTATCATCTCAGCCTCCTGGGGAGCAGCTGGGGACAGTAAGGACACTCACTTTGTTACATTTCTTTCCTTCCTTTTCTACGTTTCTGTTTTTATATTTTCTTAGCAGCAACAGAACAGGGAGACAGTCTTGAGGTATTTTAAAGAGTTTTTTTTCTTAAAAAAAATAATATAAAGTTATAAAAAGCGGCAGCAGCCTGGGGCCCGGATCTGGAGGGGAGGAGGTGCTGGCGGCTCCATCGCAGTGGGCAGGCACTTTCTTGTTAATGGGCTTTTGACTGTAGGAAGACAAGAGGCAAGAGACAGGGTCGGGCTGGGGGTCTAACTGTCCTCCTATCCAGCAAACTATGTGCGCCAGAAAAGCTAAGGCTTGATTTCCTCCTGCTGGTCTTGTGAGTAAAGCTGGGCAAGGGGGAGGATGAACGCCAGCCCAGCAGAGGCAGCCTGGAGATCACCCATGCACACGTGTGACAAAAACACACTCAGGCCCCATGCAGCTGTCAAACTTACTACTCTCATATGGGCACCAAAGGTGTTGGTATGCATCTGGCCAGTGCCTAAACCAGGAGGGCATCTCCCCTTCCCACCTCCAATGCGTTCCTCCTGGCTAAGGTCATGTGGATAGCTCATAGCATGCTACTCCAGGGCTCCCATCAGAAGAGGCAAATAAACCTGGCTGCTGGCTTTACCAGAAACCCTGGAGAGCTTGCCTGCCACCTCAAAACCTGGCAATGGGTATATGTATAAGATGGGCAGACATGCATACGGGGACCTTGGGTTATGTCCCTGCCCTTTCACGCCCTGGTGCCCAGAGGCAAAACCAATGAACAAGACCAGCCCACCCAGCCTGTGCGCAGCGTGTTAGGCCACAGCTCAGGGACCCAAGCTCAACCCCACTGCCCAAACCTTTCTTATCAGAGCTCATGGAGTCCAGCTTTCTCTCCTTCAGGGAACAGAGGTAGCTCCAAGTCCTGGAGTGAGGGCCACAGCCAATTCAGAAAGTGGCCCTTTGATTAAAGCAAGCAGGGGAAGGGGGAGAGGCAGAGGCAACATCTCCTTAGCCCAAAGGAGAGGGCTGGGGATAGGGGAAGGCCCACGTAGCAAAAGCCGGGGTCACCTCTCCCTAGAGCAGATGGCCCAGGAATGCTCTCTCAACTTCCCCAGCCTTCCCTTCCCTGCACAGACGTTTACTTAAGCACCTCTTTTTGTCAGGTGCCTGTGCACTCCAACCTCATCCATCCTGACCCTTCCCCGCCCCTGCTCTTCAGGGAGCTGGGCTGGTACCTTCAGTGTAGAACACTTCTCCTCAAAGGCCAGGGCTGGACCCGGCTTCTTGCGACGCACAGAGCAAGCCGCGTCGGCAGGGGCACCAGCCTGGCAGTGCTTGGCCTTCACTGGCCGGCAGTAAGTGGCCAGGTTTTTCCGCTTCTTGGCTACCTCCTCCTCAGAGAGGCAGTTGGTCGGCAGGGCCTTGGCCGGGTGTCCAGCCGCTCCCTGGTTGTCCAGCTGAGAAGCCTTGACTGGCGTGGGGGGCTGATGAGGGGAACCCCGACAGTCCAGGGGCCCTGCCCGCTTCACTCTTGGCTCCACCGTCCCATTAAGCCCCATGCCCAGGCCTGTTTTAGTCTTGGCCGAGAGGCCCCGGCAGCCAGAGGGTTTGCCTTTTCCAGTGGGCTCCAGGACGCAGGTCCGTTTGAAAGTGGTGGGCCCAGGGGATAACTTTCGCTTTCGAGAAGGAGCCTCCACCTCGAGCCCGTCCTTGCCTTTGGATGACTTGCTGGCCTTGGAAGGTGGGAGCTTGCTGAAGGACGGGGAAGGTGTGTTGGCAGGCAGTGGTGAGGTGATAGCCTGGCTCCCGCCCATGCACTCCGCCTGGCTGCAGGCGGCTGCCACGTTGGGGGAGCCTGCAGGGTAGCCAGGGCCAAGGCTGTCCTTGGTGGGGGGCGTGGAGGCTGGGCAGGCAGGTCTGGGGGGTGGGCCTGGAAGGCGGGGGCAGCTGCCCGTAGAGGATGGGCTCAGGGGAGCAGATGGCGGGGAGCTGACAAGGTGGGATGGAGGCTCAGCCGCCGGGGGGATCTTCCTGCAGCAAGAAGAGAGCCCCACTGTGATGCCAAGCAAGCAAGAGGGCCTCCCCACCAACATACAAGTCTTTCCACCCACGTAGAAATGGCCCACAGAGCCCTGGCAGTGCCGCCCTCTGCTGGGAAACGCTGGAACTCAGGGATAGGAAGAAGGCACAGGGAAAGGCAGGAATGAACTAATATACACACCCTTTAAAAACCTCACTTTAAATCTCAGGCTGGACATCCCCTATCCCTACTTACCCAAAAGGTACTGGAAGTGATTGGTGAGAGTTAAGATTCACTCCCAGGCGACCCATTCAGGCCCTGCCTTAGCCCAGCTCCAGGCTGCCAAGTTTCCCCACCTCCTGTTCACCCTACCTGGGGTCTTCCTGGCAAACAGACAAGCCACATCTATAGGTATGTGTGACGAATCAGGGGTTCTGAATCCCGTGTATCCTGGGGCCTGGGAAGGGAAGTTCTGGGGCCGAGAGACTCACTTCCACATGTGTGAGCTGAGGTGCCGTTCCAGCATAGAGCTCAGTGCCGAGCAGAACCGGTCCAGCCGGCGGCTAAACACGTAGCATCCTGGACTCACCAGCCGGCTCCCAAAGGTGCAGAACTGGAGGCAGAAGGAAGGCACATGGTTAAAGGGGCCTGAAATACAGGGAGGGCACCTTCACGTAGGATCTGACCTCCTCCCCACATTGTGGGCCAGGAGGACTGGCTCCCCACCCGCAGGTCCCTGCCCCAGGTCCTTACCGCCTGCGGCCGAGGGGGCCGGGTTGCATAATGGCAGTCAGTGGGGAGGTGGAGGTCATCAGACGTCCCCTCCTCCTCACTCTCCTCGCTGGAGGCCTGGGCACCACCCCGGGGCAGGGGGAAGGGGAACAGGCCTGGGTCCCCATCACCACCACAAGGGCCTTCATCATCGAACTCACTCTCAGAGGAGGCCCGGGACCTGGAAGGGCCAGAGGGGACGTGAGGGGGATGTGATGAGCGTGGCTCACGGTAGGTGTGTCCCTGAACCTGCCAAGCTCCAAAAGCCAGGGCAGACACCCTGCTGGGCGATCAGACAAAGAGGAAGGAGGACAGGAAGGGAGGGAACAACAGAGCTCACAGAGTAAGAGCCAGAAAGATCAGGGGCCACAGCTCCCAAGGGGTTTTCTCCCCAGCCCCTTCACTTCCCTGGCCCTGCCTCCTCAGGGGAAAATCTGCTTCACATTCGCCTCCTCCAGAAAATCTGAGTATAACCGCACCCAGCTCTGGTCAGCCCAGTCAATTTTCTCAAGCCCCTTCTTGCATCACATATTCCTGTGAGCCTATCTGTGAGCTGAGCCTATGTTTCGTGTCTGCCCCCATGTTACAGGCAGAGATGCGTGTGTGTCTCCTTCCACAAGGCAGGCTCTCCCTGGGTTCCAGCGCAGCCTCTGCACACGAAGGGGCCAGTGAATTAATACACAGTAGGACTGCCTCACCCAGGAGCCTGACCCTTTTGGCCTGTTGGAAGCAGCTGGGAAAATGGTTTTTCCTCGGTGTTGGAACACTACAGAGAGCCTGGGGTACTGCGGTATGCCGGGTTAGGAACAGGGAGTCACCCACCTCCACACCACCGCCAGGGGCCCCTCCCTACACACTCAGGGTGGAGTGAGCAGCATCTTCCAGGGCACTCCCTAGGCC